TATTCTAATTGTACACACATTGATGTTTTAGTTGGCTTATAATGTAGTCTAGTTGCACACACATTAATAATTAGTTGCCAAAAGGACTAGTTGCACACACATATACTCAGTTGGCTTGTAATTTAGTCTAATTACACACATATTGATGTTTAGTTGGCAGAACACTGCACACATATATGCGTAATTGATGCCGCAATGTAGTCTAGTTGCACACACATTGATATTTAGTTGACAGGACTAGTTACACATATATGCTCAGTTGACGCGACAATATAGTCTAGTTGCACACACATTGATGTTTAGTTGGCAGAACTATTGGCACACACATATGCTCGGTTGACAAGGGAATGCAGTCTAGTTGCACACACATTGATGTTTAGTTGACAGAAAGACTATTGGCACACACATATGCTCAGTTGGCATGACATGTAGTCTAGTTGCACACATATTGATGTTTAGTTGGCAAGAAGACTAGTTCGTCGAAACATACCCATGCGGGATCTAGTTTTGAAAAACATGTCGCGAAGATTCCAACTGTGAAAACAGATCGCAATTCTGATGTGCGGACTAAAAGTTATGCCTTTTTAAAATTCTGAAACCACAAATAAATACATAGAAGAACAAAGTGTATGCACCAAAAGATATAGCTGTGTTGCTATTTAATACGTTGCTGAAAAATAGATTAGATGAAAAAGATTTTCTAATTAAGAAAAGGGGCAAAAAATTTCCTTAAATAACCGGCCGCTCGCTAATCATACTGAGCGGCTGGGCGCCGGCTAGACGCGTCCCCTGAAAAAAGTCATGAAAACTCATGTGCCAGTTAACCCTCTGGGTCCATACAGAAGGAGTACGACGTAAAAAAAACAAAGCCTCGGGGCCCACACGGAAAGGAAGTCCCGCATCCTCCGTTCACCTCTCTCAGATCGGCCGGCCGGCGGCTCTGGAGAAGACTCGCCGGCTGCTGGAGGAGGGGGCGGCCGGCAGAGCAGGTGGACGCGCTGACCTCCGGGTTCTACGACGCCTTCGTGCTCTGCGGCATCCCCTTCCCTGCTGAATCCCTGCTCCATGCTTTCTAATTATTATACAGTATTGTTACCCAACCAAAGCATAATTCAGTTTCCCATCTACTCCACTATTATACTACTTCAGTTTACATCTCTTCACAAAAAATATTAGTATCTGCTGGCACCCAACCCAAGCAAATTTCATTTCCCAATCTACTATCTATTGCAGTAAGTGCTTCCATTAGAATTTCTTTAGACATATTTTTGTACCTTCCCATGGTTCTGTAGCTGTGGAACTTAATTTACAGAATGACTGCACAGTTCCATTCCATCATCTAATTGTTCACTGAAAAAAAAACTTGCTTACTGCATTCTGCTGATTGCTGCTGAGTTGCTGCATCTTTGTTGATGGTTGTGTTGGTGGGCAATCACAGAACTCGGGCAACTTCCTGCACGGCGGCGCGACAGGGTCGCTGCTTGACTTGGTGGGCTCTGCTGTCTTCTACACCACTGTGGCACAAACCAGGGGCTTGCCACTAGGGATAAACGTCTCCTACCTGGATGCTGCATTTTCGAATGTGAGTGACTTTCGTACCGAATTGAGTGTGAATACATTTTGGTTCTTCAACATCCCTTTGCTCGATCAATTCACATCTTAAAAGGCTATTTTCCAACTCTGAACGTTAATTCATTGTAGTTTATTATTACAGAGGAATGAGCTCATGCAATAACATTGTCTCTAATGCCCCATGTGTTGAAGATATGTTTGATATCTGACGGTGTGCCCGGTTTTGCTTATATTCACATACAGAGCCAATAGTTTGTAGATTCACACAATTGTACTCCACTCTGCTACCACTAGGTAGAGATGCCACTGAAGATAATAAATCATTGTTTACGTGGCAAATCATGTTCATATATCAAGATTTGTTTAGTTTATACTCCATTCTCATTAAGAATGCTCTAGTGCTTAAGCCTGATCAAGATATAGTTGCTGGTCTTTTTTTCCCAAGTGCATGGATGACCATGCCAATCCTGACGCAAAATTTGAGTTGTCAGTGCTTCACTTCTGAAGTTCTTGCAATTGTACAGTAATTATAACAGTGTATGTTGCCATTTGCAGGTAGAGATTGATATCGGAGCCAAGGTGCGCGCCGTAAAAGCAGTAGGAGTGGCTACTGCGGAACTGAAGAAAAAATCTGGCAGAATCATCGCTCAGGCCCGCTATTCCAAGTATATTGGTGCATCTAGTAGACTGAAGGCGACCCTGCCATGTAAGTTGTAAGCCTGTATGTAATTGACCTTGTTTATACTTGGCAATCTTTATGAAATAGAATAATGCTATCTTGGAATGGAAAATATAAAAACTAGTTCAGTATTTTGTTACATGATGTTAGGACATTACAAGGACCTTTGCATGCTTTGTTGCAGAAATAAAATCAATAGAATTATGTATCCCAAAGAGCAATACTACCTGACAAAGGCACCGTGAACATATAAATCTGATTACCAAAGGCTGAAAGCAAAAACCTCTGAGGAAATTTTGAAACAAGATGATCTCCATAACTGCGAGCCTGGTGTGAGTCTCTGATGTCGTAAGCCATCTTTCTCAAACCGACAATTCCTAGCATATCTGACATTTAAACTACCTCTGTTTTCCACTAAAAGTCTAGTTATACCAATCAGAATTATAGGTATTCAGACTGATACATGATATGTGTAGTGTATGAGACAACCCTCTGCTATCCTGTCCTCCCATTGACTTGTTCTTCAACCAGTTATCTAGAAGAAAATTTCAGCAGAATTATTGTATGCTAAGAACAGATCTTCCGTCTGGAAAATTGCTATTTGAGGCTCTTTCAAGAACCAGTTTTGCCATGGCTATGGTCTCAGAGAGTTTATTACCCTAGGTAAGAAATATTCTGTTTTCTACCAGCCTTTTGTTTGGCTTTTGTTGTTTATATATGTTATGAGCTCTTCTCCTTAACTATTGAATGAAATCGGGGTGAATATTCTGCCTCCGCTCCAGAAAATACTAATAAAAAATTTGTTTTCATATCATCTGTTGCCTCCGTCCAGCTGTTGCTACAACGTAAAAAGACATTATCTGGCCTCTCTGATCGTTAGAATTTAGGCAACCCAGCTGTCCTTGGAAAGTGGAGTCCCTTGTGTAGTAGTTAATTCCATGGCAGGTAGCAGGGTCCTCCTTGTTTGTTGTTGTTGTTGTGGTGGTGGTGGTGGTGTGGACTCGGCCGTCATGGCATCGTAAAATCCTCTTACATATCTCTTTGATGTTGTCATTGATTCCATGCTTAAATTGTGTCACTGCTTACTTCAGTTCGTTCAGGTAGATGTCAGATTAGTAGCTATATATATGCCGTCATGTTTACTATGGTTTTGTCCTGCACGAATGCATGCTTTAGGCCAACATCTCTACCTCCTGTTCATCAGGTCTAGACACCATGGAAAGGTGGATCCTTGGGCAGCTTATCTCCTTACCATGTTCCTCATGACCACCATCATAATCTCTCATAGCGCAACTGCTGACGAGCAAGACCACATTTTTAAGAAAAGGAGGAGGACCCCCGGCCTCTGCATCTGGACGATGCATGCAGTCATTTTATTAATTACTCACACAAGACCTTACAAAGTCATACAACAGTAATACTAAAGCCACCGTCTAGGCAACATCCGTCGCTACTCCTAACCAGTTGATGAAGGGGCGCTGATAGTCTGGGCCTAATACCAAACAAACCTCGCATCCAAACCTAACATCGAAGACCTGAAGTCCCAAACAGGACGCCTGCCGGGTATGGGGTACCTACCAGTCCGGCGCGCTCCTCAACCGGGACCCTGCCGGGTATAAGGTCGCCGCAGCCACCTGCCGCCAATCCATCTTCAGTGTTGTACTGCTGCATCTATATCTTGCCTGGTCTCGCTGCCGTCGACGCCACCATGGCGTCAGACAGCTCCACCGCCCTGCACTCGTCCATCCAGCCGCATCCGTCGTCGATATGCAGCTCCAGCTTGGAGCAGCGCCAGTCAAATGCTCAGTCTCTCGTCCACAGGCTTCATGATGGTGCCATGAAAAATCACGGATTCTTGCAAGGTAGTGACGGCACCCTGCCGGACGAGGTATTTGGCCTTGTCATGTGCTATGTCGACTTCAACCGGTCCAACTTTGACGAGGTATTATAAACAACTTTTTATTTATAATAAGTTGGCCGTATGCATCGTTCTGATGCAGAGGCCGGGGTGCCCCCCTTTTTGAAAAAAAAAATGTGCTATGTCGACTTCAACCGGTCCAAGTGCGAGAGCTGTTTGTCTACCCTACTTCGTGAGTGTCGCATGTCCTTACACCTTGATGGCAGGTGCATTTTATGATGCATGCGTCCTCAGATACTCAAACGAGTCTTTCTTCTCCGTTGCCGACCTGTCCGAAAACTCAAGTGTGGGGAACGACAGTAGTATCTACGCCCATGACATGGATCGTATGAATACAGCACGGGGGAAGCTGATAAACCGCCTGTCGTTGGAGGCGGCTGGATCATCACTGCGGTTCGCGTACGGGAACGAGACGTACACGGATCCGCAGATCAACTCACAGGCGATGTATGGACTGGTGCAGTGCTCGAGGGACTTGGCACCCAGTGAGTGCATCAAGTGTGTAGATGACGCGCACAGGTGGGTGACGATATCTGTTCCTAACAGCACTGCTGGTAGCTTCAAGGGGTACAGCTGCTATGTGAGATACAGCACGGATCCGATGGAGATCACCACCGCTCCTCCAGGTTCAGTATTTCCCCTTCCCTTTATAAGATTAGATTCGTGCATGTGTTGCATATAGGCAACAAATTAAGTCATGCGTTTGTATCAGGAGCTGCATCAATTTCGCGGAGCTCAAAGCGTAGAAAACGGCAACTGATCATTGGCATGTGTGCGGCTGCTGGTTCAGCCTTGTTGTTGATCGGCCTAGGCACCTAGGTATGGTTCATCATGCATCGGCGGGATAAAAGGATTGAGGAGATGGAAGAAGACTTGTTCGATGATGAGGCAATGGCGAACGATTTCAGGAAAGGGACAGGAGGACCCAAGCGATTTCGCTATAATGAACTGGCCACGGCCACGGGTAACTTCTCAAACAGCAGAAAGCTCGGAGAAGGAGGTTTTGATTCTGTATACAAAGGATTCGTCAAGGACTCGAAGCTTGATGTGGCAATAAAAAGAGTGTCCAAGAGTTCAAACATGGTTCTCAATTTCAGTTTCAGAAAAATTTCAGCACCAACCGAAATCAGTGAAATTCAGTGAATTTCAGTGATTTCAGTTTCCATTTCAGCCAAATGACTGAAATATTCACTCAAATTCAATTAAAATTTTGAAAAATTGAAAACATATTTTGAAAAATATTTGAATTGTTGTGTTGTACTGAAACTGCTGAAATATTTTGGCTGAAACGTAATATTTCAGTGTCTACTGAAAGTACTGAAATTCAGTGAATTTCACCGGAATCTCACTGAAAGTGAAAACCATGAGTTCAAAACAGGGGAGGAAGGAGTATATCTCCGAGGTGATGACCATTAGCCGGCTTCAGCACCGCAATCTCGTGCAACTCATTGGCTGGTGCCATGGCGGCGAGCTCTTTCTTGTCTATGAGCTGATGCCCAGTGGCAGTCTCGACAGTCACCTTTACAGTACGAAGGATGTATTGACGTGGCCGGTCAGGTAACTTCTTTTCATGCAGACATTTTTGGAAGCCCGGATATTATGGATCGCTTAACCTTTATTGGTTGTTAAACATGGTGTGCATGGGATTTATTTCTATTCTCAGGCATGAGATAGTGTTGGGGATCAGCTCAGCGCTTCTGTATTTGCACCAAGAGTGGGAGCAATGTGTATTGCACCGGGACATCAAGCCGAGCAACATCATGCTGGACACGTGCTTCAGCGCCAAACTTGGCGACTTCGGGCTCGCAAGGCTCGTTGACCATTGCCATGGGTCGCACACGACAGATCTCGCCGGCACCATGGGGTATATGGACCCGGACTGCATGGTGACAGGCAGGGCCACCACCGAGTTAGACATCTACAGCTTTGGCGTCGTCCTACTCGAGATAGCCTGTGGACGCAGGCCTGTCGTGGTCCTGCCAGATGACAGTGTGATCCACCTGGCTAAACGGGTGTCGGAGTTGTGCAGCCAGGGAAGGGTCCTTGACGCTGCGGACTCAAGGCTGATCGGGGAGTTCGACGTCCGGGAAATGGAATGCGCGATCATCGTCGGGCTCTGGTGCACTGCCCATGACCGGAGCCTGAGACCTTCCATTAGGCAGGCCACCAGCGTGCTAAGGTTCGAGGCTCCACTACCGAGCCTCCCCACAAGGATGCCGGTTGGCCCACCAGGCTCTCTTCTTCCATCTTTGCTTGTTTCTGATGACCATAGCAATAAAACTAGCAGCACGCACCTCAGCTAGTCAGGTCCACTCATGCTCTAAGCTGTTAATGGATTCATGGTACATGGATCCTCTGCCGATTGAGAAAAGAAAGAAAGATTCTATATTTATATGCATTATCAATGGCAGAGTGAGTTTAGCTATAATGGATAAGAGGATGTGTGCAATTTAAATATGTTGAGAATAGCAACTTGTATTATGAGGATGCCAAAAGGCTACAAGGGAATGCCAAGAGACTAGAATGTGAAAGGCCAAAGGACATCAATAATATAACTCTAACACCCCCCCTCAAATTCATGGTGGGTCCACAACACGGAGTTTGGAGAGGTGAAATCCATGTTACGCTCTAGTCTGAGCCTTCGTGAAGAAGTCCGCTAGCTGTAACTCAGAAGGCACATACTGAAGAGCAACAACATGATCCTGCACAACAACACGCACATAAGAAGCATCCACACCAATGTGTTTGGTAAGCTCATGCTTCACGGGGTCCCGCGCAATACTGATAGCACCTGTGCTGTCTGATAGGAGGGCGGTAGGTGTAGTAACAGAAACACCAAAATCCTCCAGTAACCATCATAACCAAGTCACCTCTGCTGTCAGAAGAGCCATAGCTCGCAATCCGGTCTCTCCACTCGAACGAGAAACTGCAGTCTGTTTCTTCGTCTTCCAGGAAATGAGAGAACCACCAAGAAAGACACAGTAGGCAGAAAGTGAACAGCGATCCATATGATCACTAGCCCACGTAGCATCCGAATAGGCCTGGAGCTGTAACGAGCTGGAACGGGGAAAAAAAAGATGATGAGAGATCGTGCCACGAAGATATCGTAGAACACGAAGAAGGTGACTATAGTAAACTGAAGTGGGAGCAGAAACAAACTGACTCAGAATATGTACAGGATAGGAGATGTCCGGACGAGTGACAGCAAGATACACAAGACTCCCAACAAGATGGCGATAACGCGTCGGATCAGACAAGGGCTCACCGTCAGAAGCACGAAGATGGACATTGAGCTCCATAGGAGTCTCAGCAGTGCGCTCATCACTAAGAGCCGCACGAGTAAGAAGATCCTGGATGTACTTTTCTTGGGAAATAAAAAAGCCACCAGAGGTGGAGGAAACTTCAATGCCAAGAAAGTAATGAAGAGGACCAAGATCAGACATAAGGAACTGCTCATTGAGACGGGCCTTAACAAAGGCAATGTACTCAGAATCGTCGCCAGTGATGATCATGTCATCAACATATAAAAGAAGAAGAGTGTGGCCACGAGCAGAAAGGTGGACAAACAACGCTGGATCGTGATCACTGGGTGAAAAACCAGCAGCAGTGACCACAGAGGCAAAACACTCAAACCAAGCGCGGGAGGCTTGCTTAAGGCCATAGAGAGAGCGACGAAGACGACAAAACATGCCATCAGGAACTGAATACCCAGGTGGTGGCTGCATATAAACCTCCTCACGCAACTCACCATTAAGAAAGGCATTTTTAACATCAAGTTGTGACACAGACCAATGGCGAACAGAGGCCACGGCGAGAAGTGTGCGGACAGTGGTCATATGGGCCACAGGAGCAAATGTCTCATCATAATCACGACCATGCTCCTGCTGAAAGCCACGAGCCACAAGACGAGCTTTATAACGCTCAAGAGAACCATCAGAGCGAGTCTTAATCTTATAGACCCACTTACAAGTGATGGGACGAACACGGGGAGGAAGAGAAACCAGATCCCATGTACCGTTGCGCTCAAGAGCGGCAATCTCCTCTGCCATCGCTAACTATCATTCAGGATGAACAAAAGCATCATGATAAGGGTAGGCTCAAGTACAACTGAAAGGCCATATTGGCTAGGAGAATAGCGGTCAGGAGGAGGGCAAGGTCGAGCCCGAAGACCATAAGTCGGCTGGGATGAGGAAGACGGTGCACGAGAAATAGATGGCACGTCAGTAGATTCATCTATAACACGTCGACGGCGGGTATAATGAAAAGGAAAAGTGGGATGAGAAGGAAGCACTGGAGGTGATGGAGATGGAGAAGACATCGGTGATGAAGGAGGAGTGTCATGCAATAAGGAAGGAGAAGACGGTGTCGGATCTGCAATAGTGGGACGAGAAGGAGGAGTAGGAATATGAGGCATAGAGTGAGGTGTATCAGGAAGCGTGAGAAAAGAGATATCCTCTACTGAAAAGGTCGAAGAGGATGGTCGTGGGTAGAATGGACGAGACTCATCAAAAGTCACATCCCTAGAAATACGCATCCGTCGACCGACAGGATCCCAACACTGATAACCCTTATGCTCATCACTATAGCCTAGAAAAACACACTCGACAGACTGAGCGGTTAGTTTGGTGCGTTCTCGGGAGGCAAGGAGAACATAACAAACACAACCAAACAACCGAAGAGCGGAATAATCAGGAGAATGATCAGAAAGACGCTCTAGAGGAATACCTCCCTGTAAAGCAGATGAGGGTTGAATGTTTATGAGATATGTGGCAGTGGAGACAGCCTCAGCCCAGAAATGAGGCGGAAGAGAGGCGGCAATCATCATCGCACGAGCTGTCTCAAGAAGGTGACGATGCTTGCGCTCAGTCACACCATTCTGAGCGTGAGCACCGGGACAAGAAAACTGAGTAAGAGTACCCTCCTCGGCAAGAAAACCACGCAACATTTTGGAGATATACTCGCCAGCAGAATCAGCACGAAACACACGAATAGGTGTAGAGAACTGAGTGTTGACCATGGCGGCAAAACGCTTATAAATAGAGAGTACCTCGCTACGAGAAGACATGAAATAAAGCCAAGTGTAGCGAGAGAAATCATCTATAAAAATAATATAGTAGCGATGGCCCCCTTTGGAAGAGAAGGGAGCCGGACCCCACACATCTGAATGTACTAAATCAAAAGGGCGCTGAGACACCGACTCACTAGTAGGATAAGGTAACTGAACTTGTTTACCAAGCCTACAACCCTGACACTGTAAGGAGACATCTCCTGAGACAGGCCCCAGAAGACCACGACGAACTAAAGACGATAGTCGAGAACCACAAAGGTGACCAAGTCGATGATGCCACTGCTGGAAGGAGCTGGTAGCTGAAGCAACGAAGGCAGATGGACTGGCGAGTGTGGTGGTAGCAGAAGGAACATTAAGCCAGTCCAACTCCCAAAGCCCTTGAGAATCATGGTGGCGCGGGCCAGCCCCAACCAGAGCCTTCGTGTGGCGATCCTGAATAGTGCAAGAATCAATGTCAAGAATGACACGACAACCAGAATCAGTAAGCTGTCGCACAGAAAATAGGTTCATGGTAAGACGAGGCACATGAGGAACATCTGGAACATAAAAGGAAGATGTGGCAAGAGTGCCTTGACTCGCAACAGGAAGAGGAGTACCATCAGCAGTAAGAACATTAATAGGAAAATAGAGAGATCTCCGAGAGGACAAGACAGAAGAATCAGATGACATATGAAATGAAGCTCCAGAATCCAGAACCCATGGGGATGTACCTGACTGTTTAGACTGTGGTTGCTCAGCACTAGAAGCACCAGTCACAGAGCCTGCAGTACCTGTCGAAGAACCTGAAGCAGCAAGTAGACGCTTGAGCTTCACAATATCCTGCTCAGTCAAGGAGATAGTAGACGACGTCGAGGAAGAAGCATGAGCCCCAAAAGAAGAATTGTGCTCCCTATTACGCATATCACGCTTCTTCTTCTTCTTGAAGCAGTCAGACTCAGGGTGACCATCCCTGTTGCAGTAGTCACAATGAGTACGAGGACGAGATCGGCCTTCACGAGAGCGGGCCTCACTACCCGGAGGAGTGGGCACTAGCGGCGGAGCACTGGAGCGAGAAGACACTGGGGGAGTAGCAGCTCGAGCAGCGAGCACAAAGGGAACCTGAAGCAAACCAGCACCACGGAGGCGAGTCTCCTCAGCACGAAGCTCAGAAAGCACCTCAGAAATAGGAACACGGGCACGAGCAAACAACTGAGCACGTCGAGGCTCAAACTCCCCACGAAGCCGTGACAAGAACTCATAGACACGCTGAAACTCCAAGTCTGATCTCACAGTCTGGCAACACGGGCAAGTGCCACAAACAGTAGTGCGAAGGGAGTCAAGCTGGCGCCAGATAACAGAACTCTGAGTGTAGAACTTATCAATAGTGGAGTCTCCCTGCTGGAGAGCATGCTCTTGACGGACCACAGACAAGTAGAGAGCATCACCGGAGGGCTGATAGCGCTGGCGAAGATGAGACCACTTCTCAAAGACAGTACTGAGGCCCATAAACTCAGAAGCAAACTGAGGTAGAACACTGGCAGTGAGGACAGCCGCAGCACGAGCATCATCATCGCACCACTGAGTGTAAGCAGCCAGAGCATCACGGTAAACTGAAAGAGCATCCGAATAATCCAAGACCTGCTGGTCATAAGCAGCAGCCGCATCATCAGCAGCAACCGTGGCTGCAACCCTATCAGCATCAGAAGCATCTGCGGCAGGAGCCGGTGGTGTCGGCGGTGGCGTAGGAGCCACAGGAGGCACTGGGCGCGGAGGACAGGGGACCTCGTCGGATAGAACACCCCAGAGACGAATGCCACGCATGTAAATGCGCATAAAGTCAACGAACTCAGCATAGTTAGCCCCATCGAATATCACCTGACAGCGCGGGGTGGCGACATAGCCAGATGATGCGGAAGACATGGTGCTCCTTTTTTGTCTTTTTTTTGGAATTAGCAAAGGTCACCCAAGAGTCAACTGGCCAGGACAAGACCGGTCAGAACTACCAACAGATCAATCAGACGAAAAGCCAGCCAAAGGAGAATAACCACGATCTGAAGCAATAGACACCCGCACGTGAAACGGCAACAGCGAGCGCGGACAACCGCGTAAGACAGCAGCGGCGCGGACGGGGCCGGCGGCCGGCAGCAGCGGTGCAGACGGGACCGGCGGCCGGTGGTGCCGCAGAAGGTAGCAGCGACACGGACGAGGCCGGCGGCCGGCAGCAGCGGCGCAGACGGGGCCGGTGGCCGGCGGCCA